AATAAAGGATAAACTCTCTTTCCCTTTTACTCACAGAAGAAGAACTATGAGGCTCTCAATGCGGCGGTTGAAATAAACTGAAAGGGGAGCCTTGGCGCCAAGGTACTTATATGAGGAGGGAGGGGCGTTATTCTAATGTGTTTGTTGCTACTGCAGAAGCTCTAGAACTTTCCAATGAGGCTCCATGAAGGCGCGGCTCACCCAGGGTGTAATTCACAGAGGCCACGAAGAAGAATTAAACACTGATTAAGTTCTGGGTTGATGACTGTATCCGCCAGTTCTGGTTCCAGTAGGGTGTGCTGGCAGGGTTCTCTCCCTCGCTTTTCTGCTCTTGTTTTTATTCAATCCTTTCAACTTTTATATATACATAGTCTTTAAAAAAAACTATGCTTAACTCCCTCTAAATAGCTTCTAAATAGCTTTCGAAGAAGCTTCTGAAGCCAGGCATTTAGGGAGTCAAAACAACCTCCAGAATTCCCGTTCCTTTGGCAACACAACAAGGAAAAGGGGAGAAAAAACAGCTGAACTGCTCCCTAAATTGTGTTATTCCTACCTATTCTCCCCTGAGTCAACAGTGAGAATTTATCTTCAGGTTGGACGTTTCCTTTTCTTTTCTCCCTATTGACTCACACATTTGCTTCTGATGTATTGAGACTGCTGTTGTTTCTGCTGCTGTTTTCTTCCTCAACCCCAATTGTCCATATGATGGTTGCCAGGATGTCTTCTATTTTATGCTGGGAGTTCTTGGGGCATCATTGGTGATGTCTGTCTGAACGACTCGGGTTCGGCAGTGGAGTCCCTGCCCAATACTATTGTGAAGAGATTCCTACTGACATCTGAGTGATAAAAATGTTATTTTGCTTCACTTGCATTAGAGCTGACAAAAGCAAAAGAAAAGGTTTAGCCTTCTTACTGCATGCAAGTGCTTAATTCCACTGATACAGCTATGCTCTGCATGATCCAGCCAGGAGGCAATTGTGTGAACTGAGGTCATACTCAAGACTATTTAGTCTACAGATTTTGCTGTTACGGGACAACAATTTGAGAAGTAAGGTGGTCAATGTGAGATCTCACACCTGCTGACCCCATCAAATCTGTATGTTGGGGGTGTAATAAGAACCAAGAGTTAATAATTTGTCTTCCAATTTTCCTTTTACTATAACATACCTGCCTTCAGGGTCTCCCATATAATCATTCAAATCACTTCAAATTTTGAGTTCTTCATAAAGATTATTGCCATCTCTCTAGCCTTATTTGTTCCATTTGCGATATATTGTTCACCTAACATTGGGTGCTTAATGATCTCTTTCTTGTTCTTATTTTGATGAGTCTCCTGTAACAACAACACATCTACTTCTAATTTTTGAATAGTCTTAATGACTCTGTATCTTTTCACTGGCGACCCCAACCCATTCACATTATAAGAAAATATTTGGAGATTATCTGACATTACAGTCATACATTCTATATGCTATCTTTACAAATCTATTCTTTTTCAGTATTTGTCTAACAGATTTTTTTATTTATTTATTTATTTATTTATTTATTTATCAACAATTAAAGTTCAATACAATAAAAGATAAAATGATTAAAATACAATTAAAATACAATTAAAATTGCCATCATCAGGACCCACAGTTGATGTTATATGTTGTGGTGTACAGTCTATAATCATATTTTACTAAGCAAGATTGTCTACATCCTTCTAATTTTCTTTTCAGTGTCAGCCAATTTACTATACCTAATTCCCTCCCACCCTTTTCCCCCTCCCTCACCCTCGCCCTCTCCCACATTGGTCAGTGAGAACAAATTCTCCAGCTCATGTGGAACTATAGGGAGCCAGAAATCTTAACATTCCCTGTAAAAGATCAGTTCTTTCCTCATGTCCACTCTTACCTTCTTAATCTATATTTATATTAACATAACAAATTATAGTTCACACTTATATGTTGGTAAAATAATATAAAACACTATTTAAGATAAATATACATGATAGAAAGGAACCTTAGAATTTTTAGATAAGAAGCACATATATTTAAGAATGTTTAGAATATATGTTTAGAACACTTTAATGTAATGATAATTAAGAGGTACAATATTTACAAACAAACATAGATAATTTGTAATTTTAGCTCAGGTGTCTCAATCAACTCAGAGCCTAGGACCCCTAAACATGATAAAGACAAATTCCATTCAGAGATTTCCAGATTTAGCACTGACCTGCCCTATGAGGGGGAATACTTGGCAGCATTTGAATATAGGGACCCCCCCCCCAAGTCCCCATTTGAGATCAAGGCCCTCACTGGATTCACTCTGTTTTGATGTGATGGGGACACAAAACATGCTATTTGAAAACACAATACAAATCCTCTTACGAGATATTTCAGCTATCAAACAACAAATTGAAGAACTTAAGCAAATTAACCATGAATCAGTTAGCATGATATTGAATCCACCCTTGAATCCAGCTCTAACCAGAATTCCAATTACAACAAAATGTGACTCCTGTAAAATCCCTCATCCAACTGCTGATGTACAACTTAATGTTAGTACTCAAGTCGATTTTTCAGATGTCACACTAGAGGCCTCTGACTCAAGTGAGAAGGTATTAAACAAACCTACAGAGCCAGGATCCCACCTCCCAATGATGAAAAGAAAAGAAAGAGGATTTGAAGGGAAAAAAAGTAAGACCAAACAAAAAACCCAAAATCAGAAGTGCCACAATAGAAAATATAAACCATCCAGGAGGAAGGTAAATAAGCAGATTCCTCCACATTGTAATTTCAATTCTAAGAGACTGTTCCAGCTGCTGGAGGTACAGGATAAGGAAAATGGAAGGATAAAAACCACTCCAAATCAGACAAGAAAGCTATCGAAGGCACAGATAAAATCAACTGAGTTTGCTTGTTTTGAGTCAATGTTTTCCCATATTAGGTATTATGAGAGAATCGCTGCCAGTTCCACAGGTGGGCTGCCTGACCATGTTCTGGGGTGGTGACACCTGATGAAGTGTTAATGGAAGAGGAGGAAATCTGGGGCTCAGCAGCAGAGGAGGCAAAACCTATGTTCTGTGCAATAGCTGAAGTGGCATGGGACCTGGAGGATGACACCAGGCAGGAGAATGAGCAGCTTTCCTGAGGTGAGGGGCCAAGGCGGGGCAAGAGGAACTGGCATCACACTAGCCTCAGAGAAGACTCTTGCCCTATCTGCCTTCTGGTGTCTGAGATGCCTGACAGGCCCTGTGGCACCCACCCCACCCCAGCTGAGATGCTGGTGGAGCAAATGCCAGTGTGAGGGAAGGAGGCTCCTTGAGGAGCAAGAGAGCAGCCACTGTTCACCACCAGCTGCCCCTTCCAGCCCTCTTTAAAGGGTTCCAAGCCTGACCCCAGACTGGGCTTGCTCCCACAGCCTTCCAGCACCAGGACTCTAATGGTCTCCATGAAGGCAATCAAAGCCAACATTGAACTAACTGTTTCCAGGGGACTCGTATCAGGAACCCAGTCCCTTGAGGTACGGGGGGGGGAGGAGACAGGGGAAACCACTCTCAGACACATGTATAAAAATAAGGAATCCCGCTGCCAGCAACTTTGAGCCAATGGTGGGAAACATCGACATCAAGAGTTATACTGGGACGAGGCGGGGGGGAGAACCTCACAGTTATATACTTCATTGTTAATTTTTTTTCTTCCATAAAATTTCCCTTGTGAATAGCTCTGTATGACTGTGATATATTCAGGGGAATTGTGTCAAGACACACTACTGCCACGGTTCAAAGATCCCTTATACAGTAAGTGTGTTTCTAGACATGTGGATACATACATATGCTTGGACAGCATATCTAGTAACTATGGTAAGTTGCTTCTTTTCCACATAATGTTTGCCAAAAACCCTAATGGGGCTGTTTTTTTTTTTTTAGTCCTACTGTTTTACACAGGTTGGAACAAAGAAGTACCACAATGGTAAAAAAAAAAAAAGTGAATGTACTGTTGCACAATTACTTGAATTAAGAGTCGATTTGAAAACATTTCCGCTGTTAAGAACTCATTATGCTATCATTTCATTTTCAAGTATCTTGAGTTTGCAGCATTTCATTCAACTCATAGGAACTTAGAAACGTAAACAGCTTTATGAATTATTTGTAAACTGTGCTTGGTGAAGTGTCTTTCCCATTATTATGAGCCAACAATAGGACTATTTCCCTGTCAGCTTCTTATTAATACTACATAATTATTCAGACCGGAAGAAATATTCACAGCCTCATCCAGTGGAGCCATTTAGCTCTCTTATATATCTCCTATAAATCTCCTTTACACACCTAATCAGATCTTCAGCCCAGCAAGCTTAGAAACAAACCTAAATTCAACATCCCATTCATATTTCAACACAGACTGCAACTTTAAACCTTGAAGTATATTAGCAGAATTATAACTCTGTATGCAGAATTTAATTACTTATTTTAAAACCAAACATTTTAAAGGATTTGTTAACAAAGACACTAAAATGACCAGATCTCTGAATCTTACAAATAAAAACATACATATTTTAAGGAACATAAGTACTTCTATACTAAAATGAGCTGTCAGGGAGAATGACCAAAAGGTTATATGATTACATGTTTCCATATAATTATGTTTGTAAAGTAACCTGGAGCACTCTCTGCATTTTCATAATCCATAGAACTGCATTTATTTTTATACTTTTTTTTTTAGCTCAGTTCATGAGAAAAAGGAGCTAAACCAAGCAAATTCATGTCACTCTGTACTGTTACCTCCACAGTTTTCAAAGTGATTCGTCCATCGGTTTTTTACCCAAGAGACACTATCAGGTAACAGATACAAGGTAATACCAAGGAAACTTAAAAATAATTTTGTTATCTCCACCAAAAATGTCATGGGAGAAAACTCATCTGGTTTGCAATAGGTTACAAGCAGATGATCAATATTGTCCTTTACAATGCCAATCAATTATGGAAAAACAGCAAAGTAAGTCCCACAAAATACCTAATGCTGTTCATGCTTCCAGTCTCAGATCCAAGTTTACATCTCTCCAGTTGGCTGGCTACAATCTGGCGTTCAGCCTCAAGTTCTCGTGTAAGCCTTTCAAACTGTAGCTCCTGAAACACAAAACACAGGCAAGGATGTTATGGCGTACGATGTAATAGTCATTCCCTGTTTGTCTTGGTGATGTTACGATGACATTTCAACCCATCCCCCCAACCCACACCTACAACTGCCAACTTCCAGGAAAAATTTCATCTGAGCCAAGATGTGGAGCTGAGTGAGATTAGTGGGAGGAAAGCCACAGTGGGCCACGTGCCACCAAAACTTCCGTTGGTAACCTTGGTTGGACATGAAGTGCCTGTGACAAGTGTCATATATCTTGTGGCCTTATGGATATCCTCTCAAAGGAGATTTGCCAGCTGTAATACTGAAGACGATCATGGCTGAGGACTGCTTGGATGTTTTTATTCTCCTCTCTTGCTTTTATACTAGACTCTTTTTTTTCATCCCGTGCAATTGATTGGTAAACTCTATATTGCATGACAGCTCATTTCTAATGTTTAACACAGCTATTATGTTTGTTTTCATTATTTGCTTTATTTACCTATTAATCACTGTGATTTTATGTTGTTAAGTTACAAGCTGCTCTAGTTTTCATCTTAAACAATTAACAAGAGAAGAACAAATATATTTGCTGGGCTACCTCTGTGCTGTACTAACTTCTTCAATCCTGATAAATGATTTCCTATGACCATGTAATTTTTATTGTGCCTAACAATGAAATAATGGACAGATGGCAGTTGAACCTATAATGCTGGCAGGGGAGACCATGGTATCAACTTAAAGGAGGAAGCAGCAGGAACATGTCACAAACATCTTAGCATATTGTTCAACAGGAAAAGCAACCCACCCTTAAGAAAAGCTGTATTAGACAATAGTTGGTAACACAAGAGTATTAAGCAGATGTCTGATTATTCCATGTTTATTACTGACATATGTTTTTTAGTTATCATCTTAGCAAGAACAGAACACTTTCCCCCCTTGATTATAATTGCTAGTAAATTAAAGTTCCCCCTCCATGTATGCTTACTTTCAGGGTTCTCTCCCAAAGAAACTAAAGCAGATTACAGCATTCTTTCTCTTTTCAGCATAGCTTGGCAAATTTATCATATAGTCCTAACAGGAAATACAATTGCAAAATCAAGTCAAAGAACAGGTGGGACAATTGTCTGTCAACATTCTAAAAAGTCTCAAATTCTCTTTAGGAGATTTATAAACCAATCAATCAGCCAGCCAGCCAACCAACTACTAGGCAAAATTGGTACCCAAACTGTACTAAGCATAGGAGATAGCCCATCAAAATCTCCATTTAAAAAGGGGTAAACTAATCATGCCAACATCCATGGTTAGACCATGACACTGGGGGGGGAGGGGGGGAGACTCCCTTTATATATTCCTATATGAGCAGCCAGCATCTTCAAAGACAAGGATTTTATATAGGAAAATGAACTTGTACCTTTTATTCCTAATACAGTGAGTCCCTATAAACTTTTCTTAAAATGGGAAATAAGACATTTTACAAAATCCTGCTCTCTTCAATTCCCCTTTGAGCAAAGAAAGGGGTAGTCTAGAAGGCACAGGATAGCTAAAGTACTCCATTTAAATTTTCATAGATTAACATGAACATCCTAAATTTGCTCAGAAAAAAAGCTCAAAGTTTGCTTACTGTCTTGTCAGTGTGTTTCAGACTGCAGCCCAAGTTTTGTATTTCCTGATGTATGCTGCACAGTCTGCACATTTGAACAAAGATGTATAATTTAAACTTCAAGATAATCCACATTGAAGTTACACCTTTAATAGGCTAACACAGTGGTCTCCAACCTTGGGCCTCTAGATGTTCTTGGACTTCAACTCCCAGAAATCCTGGACAGCAAAGGTGGTGGTGATGGTTTCTGGGAGTTGTAGTCCAGGAACATCTGGAGGCCCAAGGTTGGGGACCACTGGGCTAACACATTGTCCACAGGTTTAGAACATGCTGAAAAGTTAGAATGTTTTGGTTCTCCACATAAATTTTTTAACTTTTCAGAAAATCTATTAGCTGATGAGGTCAAATTATTGTTCACAGCGTCCTTATATCATTACATCCCGAGACAACATCCAGACAACAAGGACTTATGATCCCATATTTTCCCCTTCTCCTTCTCCCTCCCCTCTGCTTACCAGTTTAATATCTTATTTTATGAAGCGATAGTAATCTTGAAAGATCCTATACTTTATGGGGGGACGCAGTAAACTAGTAAACCCTTTTGCGTGGCTCAAGAAAGGCACTGTCTCGCTAGATATTTTGCAATATGCTTTTTGCCTACATGGCTAACCCGCTTTCGTTTGTGACTTAATAAGGAATGTTGGCATTTTACCAACGCGGAATGCAATAATTAGAAAGTTTCCTGCTACTGTGACATACTTGCATTTTCTCTCCTGTTTGCAGCAAAATCACTTCCCAAATTAACTCACAGACGTGCTCTGACTCACAGAATCTTAATTCCACATAATGTCTCCTCAGTCTTTCACTGACAGGTATAAAATGACACCATTTATTCAGCAAACAAGATTATCTTAACTGATGAGCTGTGTGTTTTACAAAACTGCACAAGTATAAACAGTTGCTTTTTGACATTGTTCAGAAACATAAGGACTTTGAAGTAAATTATAAAAGAGGATGACAATCCCTGTAGTCAGATATTTATCAATTAAAATCAAACAAGCAAAGAGCCAACAAGCCAACAACAGCTACGAAGTCCAACATGGATGGGGGAAAAAAATTCCTTATTTCCAACAGCTAAAATTAGGACTGTATGCAGTTGCCTCAATTCAATTTGAGGATGAGTTCAGCACTTTGGGATGGATCCTACCATGGACTGAAGCTTTCAAGCCCCATCCAGTTCAATTTGTGCCCTGGACCTGAAGAAGTTTTTAAATTCAGATCACCAGTCTCCCATGGACTAGCATTAGAAAACCAGAGGCACTATAAAAACCATTGTTTCTGCACTGATACATGTGAAATCTGGAAATATCATAAACATTTAGGAGAGAAATAATTGTGCAAAATTTCAGACAGTTAACTTAAGAGGTTTTTCATACTAGGCACCTTTAAACTGTGCTTGAAGAAGAAACACCACCACCATATTATAGTTCTTGAAAGAATTTATATTCATTTGTGTACTCAGTCTTGGCGATTCAAGCTGCTTTTGTCCCCCCAATTTCCCCATAATATTGGTACCACTCTCCTTGTCTCCTTAGAAAATCCTTAGATTCACAGCTGAAGAACTGCACCAAAGAAGTGCCAGTTTAGGAAAAAATACAAGGAGTTAAGCAAATTAAAGATAATCTTTCCAGTAGGAGAAACTCTCCTTGTTCGAGCGATACTCTGCTGGAGCCCTATAGAACATATCCATAGACCAGATATCAGAGTTAACATTCTGCTTGTGCAGGCATAATGCAAATAACAACAGAGAATTGTGTAATTCCTATTGTGACCATTGGACAATGTGCCAGCGGAAGTGATTCATGGGTAACGTTTCCACCTTGCCGCTACTCTAGCTACCACAGGTGTAACTTTCTCTTGCACAGCTAAGCAAGAGGATTTTGCCCCCTGCTGCACTGAATAGTGTGACAAAGACTAAATGCAATTGTCAGGGGACTTCACTGAAAGGAAAATAAATAGATTTATTTTTTTAAATTAACCACATGGGAAAGCAGTTCAAACACCCAACAAGTAAGGCCACTGATGTGGGCAGGAGCCAGACAGAATTTGCTACACCACCTAAAACACAGATTCACACAAAATAACCAGATTCCCCCCCCCTTTTTTTTAAAAAAAGACAAGTTAAAAAAGCCGAAGGCAAATAAGGCAAAAATGTCTGTAGTCACATTAACAAGATAATAGGTGAAGAGACAATTCTGATTAAGTTCAAGTTACAACAAACACAAATAAATCCCCAGACATCTTTCACTTGGACCGTTACCAAAGCTAAACCTGGCAGAAGAATTATGAACAGCTATGCAAGAACATATCACTTCAGTGATCTCATACAATCCCTTCCATAAGCACTGAGATTGAAGAGTAGTGGTTTCTTGCCTCAGATGGCATGTTACAGCTATACTTAAGGAAAACCACATCTAATGATTGTTGTGGGTTTTTTGGGCTCTTTGGCCTGTTCTGAAGGTTGTTCTTCCTAACTACATCTCCTCTCAAATATGCCACCTTATTGGAAACACATTGTTTGGATTTTCCCCAATTTTTTTTCATACACTGAAATCTCAAGATGAGTCTACAGCACTTAAGACCCTTTTTAATCTTAGAACTGTAGAGCTGGAAAGGACCACATAGATCATCAAGTCCAGCCCCTGTAAAGGAGGCACAGCAGGGGATTGAATTCCCAAACTCTGGCTCAGTAGCCAAATGCCTAAACCATTGAGCTAGCCAGACAGCTAATTTAAGCAACAGGATTTCAGCCAGTGGGCTATTGTTCTATTATTTCAGATGGAGCAATCTCTAAAATGAAATATATGTTTGGGTTCAATGTCTACGTATTGCAAAGGCTGCAATCCAGTGTGTGACAGGCATTCAAAATATGTACCCAATAATTTCCTGTTGTTGTTGATTTCATTGAACCAAATCTCAGGCCTTCAAAACCAGTTACTAATGTTGAAAATACTGAACGTTCATAATCAGCCTATGTGAATCAACTAGTGTTGTACAAAATTTGCAGTATTTTCTTCCATGTACTGCAAAATAACAGAGCACCTCTTCAAAACATGACAAGTTGGGAAGAATCCCTTCATGACATGTGAGAAAATCCTCCCTGTCTTCACAGTAAAACACATGAGCATACTGTTGTCTGTGGTGAGTTTACCCTCATGATTAAGATTTTTCTTGTATGATTAGCATCCATGCAAATTGCTACACTAATGCTTTCCTCCCTTCTTGGGAGGAAAGCGATGACAAATCTTGACAGCATCTTGAAAAGCAGAGGCATCACCTTGCCAACAAAAGTCCGAATAGTCAAAGCTATGGTTTTTCCTGTCGTGATGTATGGAAGTGAAAGCTGGA